ATTGGCTAGCTTCACTTAGCATAATCTGCTCTAATGCCATCCATTTCCCTGCAAATTCCATGATTTTGTCATTTCTTAGTGCTCCATTGTGTATAAATGCCACATTTTTTTTATCCATTCATCTATTGAGGGGCATCGGGGTTGGTTCCACAGTCTAGCTATTGTGAATTGTGCTGCTATGAACATCAATGTGGCAATATCCCTGTAGTACGCTCGGCAAAAAAATTTTTAAAAATTTTTTTTGAAAAAAAAAAAAATCACAAAAATATACTACCACTTGGTGGTGATTTTACTGACTTGATTTTCTAAGGTCAAAGTACTCAGAATGCATGTAGCAAGCTAGAGGGGATCTGGCAGTGTCCATTTCACAAAGTGTGACTCAGCAACTGGGGTGGGGAGACCGGTTGCTGTCAATGAGCAAGGAACTCTATCCCAGGGCCCCACAACCTCCCTGCAGGGGCTTTAGTACTGAAGTGCTGGCCCTGGGGACAGGCAGATAGGCTCGTCTACAGGGCGATGGGCTCTCACTTCCACTTATGCCATGAGGATCAGCATGTCTCATCTCCCTGGAGAGGCCAGGGAACACCAATGCTCTCATTCCTGCTGAGGTCAGCAAATAGGGTCTCTCCAGAAGCGGACTCCAAGAGGCCTGCTCACCCACAGCAGTGCTTGTATCCAGCAAGCTGGGACTGTGCAGTGGGAAGCTAGCTGTTGCCACAGAGGTATAGGAGAGCACAGGCTCAGCCACAGCTATGGCTGGGTTGGTGTTGACAGGGCTCGGCTGGATCACACTGACAGGCGTCACCACCATGGAGGATGCTAGCAGCAGGCTGGGGTCCTGGTAGTCAGACAGGTCAATTCTCTTGCCAAGGCTGGGTCGTGGGGGCTCACAGGTGGTGAGGTGGTTGTACATAGCCAGCAAGCTCTCTCCAAGGCACTTCCACCTGCAAAGAAAGAGCCACCACACCTGGTCAGCACCTTGTTACAAGAGTCAACTGGCCTATAGAAAGACAACAGAGATGCTTTTGGAACTATAACTTCCATGGGAGTGAAGGGAGATAGTTAACATTTTGTCATTGTTGTAAGTGACAAAATCTTGAGCATAATACATCTGAAGGTGGAGTAGCCCAAGACAATAGAAGCAGGGACTGACACTTTCCTGCTCTTCACCCAGGAGAAGCTCCTAATGTTCTTTTACTAAAGGGATGCTGCTTTCCTGATTTTTAAGGAATAGCAGTTAGTGTCCCAATGGTCACCAGCTAATAACAGCAGGAGTGCCAGAACCGGATCCCGGTGTGCCTGATCCAGGAAAGGAACTCCTAGACAATGTCTCTGAGGAAGGTGTATATATGTCGGGGAGGGAGGTGCAGGGGATAGAACACTGACGCCAAGGCATACTAAATTTAAAGGTTTAAGATTCAATGTCAGAATTTTTTAAAACAGAAATTGAATGCCAGAGTTCACAAATGGGCTAAACTACCCTAATACAAGCGTGCCCTTCTTGATGGGGGAGGGCCTCTCACATATCATAGGGCTCACAAGGGTGACCTTCAGAGTTCCATCTTGCAGGAAGGAAAGCACAAACTTGACAGCCAGGGAACTCCAAACCTGGGATCAACTCAAGATTTTCCAGTTTCCTTCTGGCAAGTGCTTTAGTTTTCTTTTCATCTCTGGATAGGGCCTTACAGAAACATGGCAGATGGCTGGGGTCAACAATGGTGAGAGCCAAGAGGAACTAAGACTGGGCATACTTGAAAAAGAACTGAGCTGCTACTTAGTAGTCAAAGAATAGGTACATGTCTCCAGCCTTCTGGCATTGGTGCTCCCAGCCTCTACCCATGACATCAGCTCAAGGTCAAGCTTGGGGCTTCTCTCTCCTGTGCAACGTGGTGTCCCACAGAGGGTCCACTAGCCAACCCAGCGTTCCTAGAGACACAAAATAACATACGTGAAGAAGGGGATTGGCTGCACCAGTTTCAGTTCTGGCTCCTTCTCCCGCACAATCAATGCTTGCCTCTTTTTCCGAAGTCCCAGGGCCTCATCTACGATGGCCTTTGTCTCAGCAGCACTCACTGACACATCATGAATTGACATGTCACTAAAAACATGTAAAACAGGGAGAAATTACAATGTTACAATCTAGAGCCAAGGCTAAAATTTTATAGAGAGGGATGTGTTTAAGTTAACATCCTTTAGCCTGTATCCATTCTTCTCACATATAAAATAACCACTTGAATTTGGCCTCAAATGGGCAGTAACTAGCATTCTTAATATCCCCATAACTAGAAATGACTAACAACCTTTGTTCCTTCTAAAACCCACAACTGAGAAGAGAAAGGGATTTTTTTAAACTTTATTTTATTTATTTTTATGTGGTGCTGAGGATCGAACCCAGTGCCTTGCACATGCTAGGCTCTACTGCTGAGCCACAACCTCAGCCAGAGAAAGGGTTTTTGTATGTATTAATATTATCATAATGYCTTGAAAAGCCACAGCAAATAAAATCATGCTCTTGATTATTTATAGAAAAATTTAAAAGCATTTAACTATCCTATACTGCACAACCCAACAAAAAACCATTAGACAAACCAACTCACCAAAGTCAATGGTATCCCCCAAATACAATAAGGGTATGGCGCTGAGGCCTCAGATGCCCTTCCAAAGTCACACTCTGCTTGAAGTGACCCAACAAAAACTGCCCTCCTGTACAGACTGTCCTGATCCCAACAGGGCTACCCAACACAGCCACTCAGGGACTTGGTTCCCTCATAACAGATGTGAACACAGGCATAAGCTCATGGAGGACAGATTAAAACAAAACACCCCAGTATCCCTAAATAGTTGAGTTCTAATACAAAAGGGCAAGAGGAGCTGGCTCATCTGGAGGTTTGGGGGAGGTTCACCTAGCACATAGAAAGTGGCAGAAACACCACTGGGAATTGAAATGTGAAGGAGGAGCAACCGCAGGACAAGCAGAGGGGTGGGAAGATGACAAGGCTATTTCTCGAAGATCTTCTCCTTGAGAACCAGGTTAGTACACAGTGGGAACCAGAGAGAGGAGACAGAATGGTACACAACAGGGCCAAGCCTGGAGTCTACCAGGTACCTGAAGCAACTCTAACAAAAGAAGCTTGAGAGGAAAAACAGGAGGTGAGTGTGAAAACCAGAGGACCAGGCTAGAACCTCCTGGATGATGCAGCTGGGTTCTATCCTGGAGGCAAGGCAGAAACAGCACAAGATCAGAGGTATGCTTGGAACACTGAACTTGAGCAGTACTGGAGACAGAACCTTGATAAGGAGAAAGGAGATAAGGTGGGAAGCAGGCTGTCATAAGCATCCAGAAGACAACTAAAAAACACTGAAAACTTTCAGGGCAGTAGGAAAGGAGAGCAGCAACTATGTTTACCTCAGCCTGAGAAGGCAGAGCCAAGCTCAGGTACAGCTGAGAGATAAATAAGGCAGGTTGAGTAAGCTCATTAGTTAAGGGGCCACTATAGGAGATGAAGCCCTGGAATTCAGGGCTCCACCTACTAGGAGTTCAGGACCTGAGAGAATGAGGTGCACTCCTGCTATTTATCAGCTGTACAGGGAAGGATGCAACCATATGGGATGACACAGACTTACCATTTGAGGAACATTCTGAGAGAGTCCTTCCGGAGACAAGGCTGTTCCTCGAAGATCTTCTCCTTGAGAACCAGCCCTTTGCTGTACCTGCAATCCTTCTCCAGTGCTTTGCAAATAAAGTATAGACACGCTGGCAGGGAAAGAAATAGGACTTTTGAGACTACACTTGGAAACCCTGGACTTGCCAGTTAATAGAAGGAAAATGTTCCCACTCTGGAATCAAAGAAATGTTTGGTAATAATTGCAAGACAGCACTTTATCCAATTCCATTAAGAAAGATTTCTAAGATTATAATATCATATAATAGTATATTATAATATTATAATATAGATGGGGCACTCCAACATGAACAGACCCAAACACTGCCAGCAGAGGATAAACTATATGAACTTTGTAAAGGACCTTGACGCTGCAATCCCACTTCTAGGAATTGCTACAGAAAAAAAAAAAAAAAAAAAAAAACCATGGGGCTCACAGTGATGAGATATTGGCCAAGTGGAAAACCTCCTTCAAAAAATCTGGTAACTACTCTGCCCCACCATAGGGACCTGGTTAAGTGAAGTTCAGCTGATCTACACACTAGGTTGCCAAGCAGCCATTGTACAAATGCTCAAAGAATGTGCTGAAATGACCAGAAAGAAGGCCATAATATAGCATTGCGAAAAGAGAAAGGAAAAAACAAAACACACAGTGGGATTCCATTGGTACATATAAAACTATTTTTTCTTTTAAATTTTATTTACCTCTATTTTCCAACATTTCTTCTTTTCCTTTTAAAAATTATTCTTAAAGTTATTGTCTACAATTTAAGATGTGTACTTCCTTCATGTAATCAAGTACCTTTCTCAAGTCATTGATCTGGAAAGCCTATGCCAATTCTGGCTCCTCCAGGACTGGAGACAGTAATAGATGAACTAATGCTTAGAGACAAACAGGATGACAGATTCATGAAGCAGAACTACAATGTGAGTTATAAAAGCCTTTATCCCTTATAAGTGGGACTAGCCCCTGGCAAACAGTACCACTGAGTTCCCAGCTACTCTGTGTTGCCAGGTCTCACCAGTGAGCACTCAAGGATGCAGTAAAGTACCAACTCCACTCTGCCTGGGCACTGGGACTACCATCATGCCCTGCTATGCTTCTCAATTTGAATGTGGTTAGGCTGCAGTTCACTCCTATCAAGAATAACCAGAAAAAGAAGGACCTGGAGCAAAAGGAGGAAAGCCAGAGCAGAAGTGATCTGAGCATGGAGGTCTTGGGAGAGGAGGAAATAATATGTTTCTGATGTACCAATTCAAGAGACAGAAGAGCCTACTTATGACACTAGTCAGGGGCCATGCCTTTGAAGGCATACAAAGGGTCTGCACCCAGCATGCTGCATACTAAACTGGTCCAAAGATGCCTACCTCAGGTAAACAAGGAACATGGTTCTTCTGGGAGCACAGTGGGACCTGAGGGTAGCCATCAGAAACTTCCAGAGAGAAAACCAGGGAGGAACTGGGAATCTGGATGGTGCTTGTTCTTAGCAGGCATATCAGCTGCAGTAAGGAAAGCTTGCTATCTGTATTATGCTTACCATTCTACAGAGGGAAGACCTGAGAAATCTCAAGGAAACAAGAGGAGGTTAATAGGCCTTAACCCAACACCCTGCCTTCTTATCTCATTAAACATGAATTCAACATGCTGCTTTTACTTTTTGTATTAAATGAATGGAAAATTTATGGGGCTCTAATATGAATCAGTTCAATCCCTGTGATAATTAACTTTATGTTGCAATTTGACTGAACCACAAGATGTCCAGACTTCGGTCAAACAATATTTTGTGTATTTCTGTGATGAAATTAAATTTTAAATCAGTGGATGGAATAAAATAGGTTACACTCCCAAATGTGAGTGGGCCTCATCTAATCAAGTAAAGGCCTTAGTAGAACAAAAAGGCTGACCTTTCCAAATAAAAGAGAATTTTTCCTGCCTGCCTGACTTTAAACTTGAACACTGATTTTTTCTTGTCTTCTCAATGGATCAAAACATCAGCTCTTCCTGGGCCTGCCAGCCTACAGACTGCAACTACACCATCAATTCTCTGGGGTTGAAGGCCATTGGACTTGCTCACCTGGGTCTCCAGCTCACCACCTCATCCTATAGATCTTGGAACTTGTCAACTTCCATGATTACATGTGCCAATTCCTTATAATAAATCTTTTTCTATATATGTATATGCCTATCTAATTGGCTCTATTTCTGGAGAACCTGTGTACAGGCCCCCAATTATGTATTTCCCACAAGGACCTTACCAAGCATAATTTCTACCATAAAAGAGAGGTACAAAAACTAAACTTGTTGGCTTGAGAGAGGAAGGCTGAAAATTGAAGATGGTGCCCAAACTGTAGGAGGAACTACAAAAAGAAACTAAAAGCCTCTGAAAGACAAAACCGCTAGTTAAAATGTCATACTATAGAACTGTCATATTCTGTTGGTGATAAAAATTGGAGGAAACTTCAGAACAAGTGCATATGTCTACTGAAGGATACATATATAAGAAATGTTTATAACAGCATTATGTGTAAGAGCCCAGAGGTGGAAAAAAAAAAAACCCAAATGTCCACAAATAGAATTGTTAAATAGTACAGACTACACAGCAATGAAAAAGACCTAGTGGCGGCTATGTCCTACATGGGTGTACTCACAGACAGGATGACAAGCAGAGAAAGCCAGGATGAGAAGACTTCTGACTCTACTGCAAAGAAGTTCAACTATTGGCAAAGTTAATCTCTTATAAAAGGGAGAGAACAAAGTTGCTTTATGGGGTGGTAATGAGTGGAAAGGGCCTAAGTAGCCTGCCTTCTGGGTCGTAGCAAATGTTTCATATATTGAAGTATTTTCACATACACAAATTGATGGGCCTCATTGTGCACTTTATTTTTATTTTATTTATATATTTATTTATTTGTGTGTGTGTGTTTGTGTGTGTGTTTGTTTTGCCTCAATTAAAAATATTTTTTAAAATGGTTCTGGAGAACAAGAACTAGAGGTAGAAGAGTGAGCAAGGCCTTGCACTTCTCAACATACTCCATTCTGTTGCCATTTGGCTCTTAAAACGAAAGGGGAGAAAAGACTTCCCAGCTTCCAGAACTGCAAGAAATAAATGTTTATTGTCTAAGCCACCCAATCTATCATTTTGTTATAATAGTTTGAACTAAGACAGAAGTGGGCATTGAGGAATGAGTTGCTATTATAACAAATGCCTACAAATGTATAGGCAGCTTTAAACTAGGTAATGGGTAGAAAACTGAAGAGTTCTGAGGTGCATGCCAGTAAAAGACATATTACCATGAAGGGATTGTTAAAGGTGACTCTGGTAAGGGCTCAAAGAAAAAAAAGGCCAGAAGCTGTTGAGAAAGTGCATAATTACATCCAGAATGTCAGTAGAAATATGGATATTAAGGACAATTCTGCTGAGGTCTCAGGCAGAAATGAAGAACATGTTATTGGACAACAAAGAAAAAGTGATTCATGTTATAAAGATGCAAAGCACTTAGCTGAATTGTTCTAGTGTTTTATGAAAGGGAGAATTAGTGAGCAATGAAATTAAATATTTACCTAAGTAGATTCCTAAGCAAAGTGTTAAAGAATAGCACAGTTCTTCTTGACAGCTTAATTAACCCTCCATATCCACAGGTTCTGCACTGGCAGATTCAACCAACTACAGACCAAAAATATTTGAAAAAAAAAATTGTGTCTGACTTTTGTCATTATTCCCTAAACAATACCATATAACACTATTCATTTACATTGTATTATGTATTAGAAGCAATCTAGAGATGATTTAAAGTATACAGGAGGATGTGCATAGGTTATATACAATACTATGCTATTTTGTATAAGGGATTTGAGCATCCACAGATTTTACTACCCAGGGAGGTACTAGAACCAATCACCCACAGACACCAAAGGACAACTGTATAGTAAAATACAAGAAGAGAGAAATGAATCCAACCTAATACAATGAATTAAAAGGGGAATTACTTAGCAAAAAGAAATGAGGACTTAAAGATATGGAATATTCTCAGCCTATATATATTGCAAAAATTGCAAAAGCTTGTTCTGAAGAAAATACTTGTATGTGGCAATCAACCATTTGATAACAAGATTTATGTATGAACGACAAACTTAATCAGTTATCTCAGCAGAAGCTAGGAACAGAAATGGAATTATACTAGCAGAAACACCACAAGTTGGGAATAAAGGGAATAGAAAAAAACAGGAGGGAATAAAGAAAGGCTATGAATGTGTGCTATCCTTTAAAAAAAAAAAAAAGGAAAGGAAATGAGAGGGGCTGGGGACATGACCCAGTAGTAGAGCACTGGCTTGGCATGTATGTGGCACTGCAAAAATATGGATAGATGAATGAATGAATGAATGAATACAAAAATATATAAATAAGTGGAAGAGGGATCCCAAATATAATTTCAGGTCATTAGGCTGCCACTCCTCCACTCCTACCATAGGAGGCAGGGCTTGTTTCTTAAACGGTGGGCTATCTATCCAGTTGGATGAGCCAGGATATCCCAGATCAGTCTCAGGGATAAGGCCCTACAAAGTAAGAAACATAGGGTCAAACCACTGAGTTGTGGGAGTGACACTCTCCCCAATGGGCCTAAAGGGCAGAGCATAAGACCAAAGAGAATTATTCCTGAGCCTTTTGACCTAATGAAATTTGCCTTGATATGTTTTGGACCCATCACCACCCTTCTTTCTTTCCTATTTCTCCCTTTTGGAAGGAAATGTCTAGTTTATGTCTGTCCTATCATTATATTTTGGAAGTACATGACTTAATCTTGCTTAACAGGTTCACAAATGGAGAAGACGTCTGCTCCAGGATGAACTATATTCCATCTCACCTATATATGATTTAGATGAGAATTTCTGGAATTGATGCTAAGACAAGTTTGAGGGTTGCTGGAATAAAATATGTATTTCTTGCATGTAAGAAGGACATGAATTTTGGGGGTCCAGGGAAAAATACTGTAGACTGAACGTTTGTGTCTCTCCAAAATTCATTTGTTGAAGCTCTAATCCCCATGTGATGGTATTTGGAGATGAGGCCTTTGTAATATAGGTTTAGATGAGGTTATGCATGTGGATCCCCCATGATGGGAGTGGAATGGTGTTCTTTGGTACTGGGGATTGAACCAAGGGGCACTTAATCACTGAGGCACAGCCTTTTTTTGTATTTTATTTAAGAGAGGGTCTCACTGAGTTGCTTAGAGCCTCACTAAGTTCATGAGGCTGGCTTTGAACTCGAGATCCTCCTGCCCCAGCCTCCCAAGCCACTGGGATTACAGGCATATGCCACCATACCCAGTGATGTTCTTAGAAAGAGAAAGAGTCTGGAGTTCTCTCAAGCTCTCTCTTTTTGCCATGCGGGGATATACCAAGAAGATGGCCTTCTGCAAACCAAGGAAAAAGCTAAGATCAGATACCAAGTTTGCTGGCACACTGATCTTAAAACTTTCCAGACTCCAGAACTGTGAGAGATAAATCTCTGTTTTTCAAGCCACTTCATCTAGAGTATTTATTTTTACAGCAACCCAAACTGATTAAGACACAAAAGATGGGACAATGCACAGATGAAATAAGAGAGCCAAAGGGAAAAAAAATCACTCAGAGAAAATATGACTTATTTTTATAAAGCATCTGATAAATCAAGAAAGACAAGAAGGCTATGGCATTACTATGATCCCAGTAACTTGGAGGGCTGAAGCAGAAGGATCCCAAGTTTGAGGCCAGCCTGAGCAACTTAGCAAGATCCTGTCTAAAAATAAAACATAAAAAGGACAGCTCAGTGGTAGAGCATCCCTGGATTCAATCCCCAGTACCATTAAAAAAAAAAAAGCAGGGGGGGGGGCTGGGATTGTGGCTCAGCGGTAGAGCACTCGCCTAGCATGTTCGGGGACCTGGGTTCGATCCCCTACACCACATAAAAATAAATGAATGGATAAAGGTATTGTGTCCAACTACAACTAAAATAAATAAATAAATATTTTTTTTAAAAGACAAAATAATAAGTTAGGGGTATAAGATAATAACATTTCATTCTCTTTGACAGTCTGGCAGAAAGTCTGTCAGTGTTAACTTTGGCTACCAGCTTATACCCAAGCCACCCTCCCTCCTCTGATGCAAAAAATATAAGCAAATGGAGAAAACACCAAAGCCTGACTCACTTGTGTAATCACTGAGGGTGTACAGGACAGTGATGAGGTTGTCCAAGCAAGGCCAGTGGTCAGGATTGCACCGCAGCCCTTCCTCAAAAGCATGACGGGCCAGGGGGAGCCGGATGAGTCTCAGGGCCACATGTCCAATTTTATACCAGAGGTTGACATCTGTTGAGTCCAACATTACTGCCTGGAAGAAGCATATGCACATTTGGTTGCTGAGATCCCAAGAAGTACTAGCCTTGCCATTGTACTACCCTCTTAAATGGCAAAAGTGGCATGATTGCCTTATAATTGATCAGCAAAGCCAGTCCCCAGAGTCACACATTTTAAGATCCAGAGAAATGACACATAATAAGTTATAAGGACCAATTTATTTAACTCAGGACATTTTTAAATCTATTTTGTTAATTTAATAGGTAAAAGAAGGGGAAGGAGTAGAATGAAAAGAAAATATGGCAGTCTTCTGGGACTCTAGAATGATTACATGCTTTGGAGAGACCTTAGTTCACATCCCTGCTCCATTACTGATTAACAGAATGATCCTGAGCCTGTTTCCTTATCACTGAAATGAGGATAAAGACACCTTCTTGCAAGACAATAATTAGAAAGCAATTAGAATGGTGTCCAATTATCACATTACAGATGCACCCAGATAGAGCAATGGTAATATTGTTCTTCAAACTTGTATGCATATCAACAAGTTTGATCTTCACAACTGTCCTCTTTTTTCATTATTTCTACTACACAGGTATAGACCAAGAGGGTCAAATAATTCACTCACAGTCTCGTGTGTACTGGGTAGCAGAGGAAGAATTCACATGCAGGTTTTTGCACCCAAGCATGCCCTTGCCCCACCACTGCTCTCCAGGCCTGTATGTAGTTACTATTAACACCCATTGACTAGGGCCTTCTAGTCAATGGGTGTTAATAGTAACTACATACAACGGCTTGGTGATGCACTGCTACAAATTCTTTTTGGCCAACAAGACCACAACCACATCCCTTCAGCAAGAGCTTTTAAAACAGAGAAAACTAAGAGCTGTCAAAACTGCACCTCCAGGGCTAGGGTTGTGGCTCAGCAGTAGAGCGCTAGGCTAGCATGTGTGAAGTCCTGGGTTCAATCCTTAGCACCACATAAAAATAAAATAAAGATATTAAAAAACAAACAAACAAACAAACTGCACCTCCAAGTAGAACTCCATGGCTGTCTCCAGATCCTCTCGCTGGGCTGCCAACTGAGCCAGGTTCTTATATGTGGAATATTTCAGTATCAGCCCAGGGTGTTTCAATCCCTCTTTCTCATCACCAGATGAAACTGCCTGTGAACAAAAGAAACAGGGCCAAAGAAATGACGCCTAGGCCTTGAATCTTGTTATAGTTTAGATATGAGATTCTCCCCAAAAGCTCATGTGTGAGACAAAGCAACCATTTTCAGAAGTGAACTGAGATCATGAGGTGTAACCTAAGTGGCGAATTAAATTCACTGATATGGATAGTAACCTTAGGCAGGTTGGATGTGGCTGGAGAAGGTATGTCACTGGGGGGTGTGCTTTTAGAAAACATATTTTGTCCCTGGTAAGCAGTTAAGCAATATTTCTCTTTCTTTCTTCCCCTCCCTCCCTCTCTCCCACCTTTTCCTCTAGTTCCCTGTTGCCATGTCCTAAGCTGCCTTCCTCCTAAACACCCTTCCACCACAATGTTCTGCCTTACCTTGGGCCCAGAGCAACAGGGTTGGCCATCTATGGACTAAGACCTCTGAAACTGTGAGTCCCAAATAAACTTTTCCTCCTCTACATTTTTCTTCTCAGATCTTTTGGTCACAGTGATAAAAAGTTGACTAAAACAAAGTTTCAGCAAATAGTTTGCAGGATGCCTGGCTTCCAGTCTAGCCTCTTCTACGGGCTCTTGAGTCAGTTCAGTGTCAGCCTCCACTAGAAAATAAAGGTGCTAGAATAGGTGTTCCTAGAAGATCCCAGCAACTCCAACTTCACTGAGAGAAAGACCACCATAAGGCAGTTTGTAAAAGTATGGGCACCAACAGAGACAGAGGAAACCCTCCCAACCAGTATCACTATACCTGAGGGCTCAAAGTCTGAATGATAACATTTACCAGCATTTGTAAGCCAGCCCAGTCCTACCCACTATAGGACTGAAGACGGAGGACAAAGTATAAGGAGACTTTCTGGGGCAGCAGGAAGGACCTAGAACTTCAACCCAAGGAACCCTGGATTAAGAGTTAGGAAACAGAGCTCCCAACCTTGTAAATTGTCATGAGACCATAYACAAGTTACTTTAACTAAATAGTGTCTTATAACCTCTGTAACAAAAGGACAATCATTCCTAGCCTGAATAACAAAGGTAAACATGAGCTTAAAAATAAATATTGTAAACATCTTTATGAAAAATCTTAGAAAACATATCTTCTAAGAAATTACTGATTAGAAAACTATTACTCTACCCATAGGACAAAGACAAAAACATTTTCTAACAGAAAACTCACTGGCACAAAGAAGCAATTTCCAGGAACTAATCCATATTACAGTTTTGTCCTGAAACCAGTGGCTTCCACACACAATTCTTTTTTTTTAATGTCTTTGTTTATTTTTATTTTTATATGGTGCTAAGTTTAGATATGCCTCACACATGCTAGGCAAGCGCGCTGCCACTGAGCTACAGCCCCAGCCTCTCAACACACTACTCTTTTTTTTTTTTAAAGAGAGAGAGAATTTTTTTTTAATATTTATTTTTTAGTTTTCAGCGGACACAACATCTTTTGTTTGTATGTGGTGCTGAGGATCAAACCCAGGCCACACGCATGCCAGGCGAGCGCGATGCCGCTTGAGCCACATCCCCAGCCCAACACACTACTCTTCATGTTTAGAATAAGCAAGACCTGAGGACATACCATCCTCAGGAAGCAACCCTTGACTAATCCAAGAAACCTAACCTGGAGTTCTTAAGGAATTCCATCAAGACTGAAAACTCAAAGCAAAACCCATACATTCATATTCTACCGTTGTCTGGCTTAGACTGTAAGAAGGTCCCCAAGAACAAGCTGACCAGGGCTAGGCCTCAAGTATCTTTACTCCTCAAAATATAGAACTCTTCAAAAAAATTAGTATGATCAAAAAATAGTGTGAGTCTACTTCACAGACTAAATAGCAACAGCAGATGCACTCTTAACTGACCTCCACCTAATGACCACCTACATCTAGCACCACTCTCTATATTCCTTAAAAGGTTCACCCTAAGAAGCCTCTCTGTGATGCCACCAGCTAGACTACATACTTCTTAGGAATCAGCTGTGGTCCAGGGCATAATCATGTCAATGATTTGTGAATTATAATTACCCAATTTAGTTTAATATTAAGTATACCAATGCATATAACTGTAAAAAAACTTTTTTGTCTATCTTTTATACTTTTCAATTGTTTACAGTGATCATGTTTTACTTTTATAAGCAAAGGGGAAAGGTGCTAAAATGATATACACATGTATATCATTTTAACACAGAGCCAGTGCCCTTAAGTTAAAGGCTTCCTACCTTGTACCTATCTGGCATTAGCTCTGTACTTAGAATGCCTGCTCAGTCTTACCTGCTTCCATTTCTGAGATCTACTCAACCAAGGGCTGAGAAGGAAGACCCACTCTTGAAATGAGCCCAGTGTCTGACCTATACTAAAGTTTAGAAATATGGATTAAATTATTTTCCCTCCCTGGGCCCTCTCTTACTTCCTACTAACGAGAGAAGGGCAGGCTACATTTCCCATACCTTTAATTCTAAAACAACATAACAAACAACCAAAGAATCCTGACAAGCTAAATAGTTAGAAATATGAGAAATACTTTGAGAGAAGTGATAGATATATTCTGCTGAAAATTTAGATGCATTCCACCTCACAGGCAGTGAAAATCATAAAGGGGTAGGGTTTTAAGACATAAGCATCTGCCTTCCTGGAGGTGTAAGGGACTCTGCTTAACTGGAAAAAAAAAAAAAAATGTGTGGTCTTGAATATGCCTGTAGAGTCTGTTTGCTTCCTGAATGCAAGTTATGGAGCTACAGCCCCAGCCCCTCAACACACTATGGGCTCTTGAGTCAGTTTAGGCACCTGAAAGCAAAAACTTTTTTTCCTAATGAAATATAAACCTCTCTTAAGTCAATTTCAGGTTGAAACCAATTTCCAAACCTCATGTGACATCTTCATGACTCAGTAAACTTGAGGTGTAACTGACAGCATGGTCCCTGCACTAGCACCAGTTCTTCCTACCTACCCTTTTCTGGCATTCCAGAAGGCAGGGGCAAAGAGGATAACTTGAGCCCAGGAGTCTTGCCTGAACAACATAGTGAAACTCCATCTCAAAAAAAAGTCCATAATGTTCTCACACAGACTCATGGTCTATCATCCAAATGGCATCTGCCAATATATGCTGCCCAAAGGATCATTATGTATCAGAAAAGCTGGGATCGAATCCTACCCTAATACTTCATTTACATGAGTGGCTCTGAGCCATTGAAACCTCACTAAGCCACAAGTTTTCACATTTGTAAATGGGAATAATACCCCCACCTACTGGGCAGAGAGAGAGTGGCTGTGAAATAATAATGGGTACTTGAACTGGAATCACTCAACCCTCACAACAATCCAAAGAAGTAGGTACTCTACAGGTGGAGAAAATGGGGGGCTCATAGGTGCAATACTGTTTTCAAGGACAAGAAATGAGAACACAAAGGTAACATCCAGCTTCACAGTCCAGGTGCTACCCACCATAGCTCACTGCCTAGCCTGCAAGTTCCTTACCTCCCGCAGCAGGCGTGCCTCCAGAAGCTCATGGTAGGCTTTGGCAGACTCCTCAAATCGGTCATGTTTCTGCAGATCCAGAGCTTTGTGATATAAGGCAAAAGCCTCTGCTTCCTAAAAACCAAGACAGGAGATGTTGTCATAAAACACAAAGGTTTGTCTTTCTTAAACCAAAAATGTGTATAAAGGAAGTTATAATTATGTCCATGTTCATTGTCAGCAGCTGCACTCTCTAGTGTTAAAACAAACAAACAAACAGCAGCAACAACAAAAACAGTAGAACTACAATCTCCCAGGCACTAATCAATGGAGAAAAACTCCTTATGAGCACCCCTTCCCAACAAGGAGACATGAGTAATGGAAACATTACYGAATCTAAGCAATGGCAAAGACAACACAGAAAGCTGGGACACAGAATCAGACATGCCAAGATATATGCCCAGTGGCCCTTTCTGGGTAAAACTGGAAAAGTGGACACAGGGCCCTGAGTAACCCAGAGAATTAAAGAGACTATGTATCACACTAAAAGAAAGACATATTTAGTCTTTGTCCCTGATTTCTGAACTGAAACTTCTGAAATCCTTGTAAGTGCAAGAGTGTGTGCTTGCCTAGTATGGCAAGAGTCCTTGGGTTCATTCCCTAGCACTATAAAATAAATCCATAAATAAAGTCTTCTCTGAACCATCACCAAAAATAAATAAATAAATAAAAATAAAAACAAATAAATAGGACTGGGGTTGTGGCTCAGTGACAGAGTGCTTGCCTAGTATGTGTGAGGCACTGGGTTTGATCCTTAGCAATGCATATATATATAAATAAAATAAAGGTTCATTGACAGCTAAAAAAAATATTTAAAAAAACCAAATAAACAAAACCCTTGGTATTTCCTGGGTGACAGGGATAATATGAATACCTTTTATTATTCATAACAAGACCCTTTCAACCATATTTGAGTTTATGTTCATGAGGTTATAGGTTGTTGGGGTTCACTAGATAGCTGCAGGACTAGGCTGGTGGCCAGTGGAACCAATCATGATTAGAAAGTTGAAACTTTCAGTTTCCCCAGCCCACCTCTAAGAGAATCTTGAGATTCAGTTGATCACCAGAGTTTTAACCTATCACACTTATGTAATGGATGGGGCTTGGAGAATTTCTGAGTTGGTGCTAGAAGGGTGGCACACCCAGAGAGGGTGTGGAAGCTCTGTGTACCCACCACCCCCTATGTCTATGCTCATCTCTTCCATCTGGCTCTTCCTGAATTACATAATTTCTAATAAACTGATAAATGTAATTAAAGTGCTTTCCTGAGTTCTGTAAGCCACACTAGCAAATTACTGAACCTAAAACAGGCAGGGGATAAGAATTTTTGACTTTATAGCCAACCTATACTGGTACTTGCAACTGGCATCTGAAGTGAGGGAAGTCTAGCAGGACTGAGCCATTTAACTTGTGAAGTCTCACCCTAATTCAGAGTAGTTAGCATTAGAATTGACTATATTGCGGGATACCTGGTTGGTATCCGGAGAATTGGATGATATAGACAAAAAACAGTCCAGTCCAGACATCTGAGGTCAGATAATTGTTGTGAGAAAAAATAATTTGGCATAAATAGTTTCCTTCACTGCTTAACTGCGCTTTTTGTGTGTGTGTGTGTGTTGGGGATTGAACCCAGGGCCTCACACATACTAGCATATATTCTACCACTAAGCCACACCCCTAGCCCTCCACTGCTTTCTACCAAACAATCTGTACTAGCCTGATCGATGCCTAAAAAAGTGAGAGTCTCCTCCAACACTCCCAGTCTACCCACTGACATCCCTTGCCAACCAGAGACAGCTGACTAGTAGATTTCTGAGAGGGCTCTGGAACTGTCCTGGTTTTTCCCATAAAAGAAGGCAGGGGACATATGTCCCAAGGAAAACAAAGACAAAACCAAACCTTGTTAAATTAGGGTAGAGCACAGGTGGATAGATAAGTGGCCCTGGTGCTGAATGGGATTTCATATACACTCACAGAATACCCAAGTAAAACAGATTTAACAAGAGATGGAGAGCTAGCCATGTTCAAAAATGGAATTTCCTCCTAAAATCTCATTAAGGAGATGTCTGAATGCATTTAAAATGAGGTTCCATTTATAGAAACAAGAAGCAGAGGAAGATGATCTTGGATTACATACCTGAGCCTCCTTCGTCTGGGTTTTGTGACTTTTAAAATTTCCTTCATGATCATCCTCAACTGTGGAGCTAGCATTTAAGGCTGCAATTCGAATCTAGAAACAAGTTTAGAGGAAGAGAAGTGTTGCTTTCAGATGAATACAATTCTGCACCAGCATATAATATATTCTACCTTGAAAAACTACAGAGGTAATAAGTTATAAACAACGGACCATCTAGGAAGAAAATAAGGATTGGAACATGCCAGTCTACATGGGAAGCCCAGCCTGGGTACTGTGTATTGCAAAAGGAACAGAGGATAGGACACCCCAGCATCAGCTCAACATAGTGGAAGACCCAGGTATCAGAATAACAATTCCAACAAAACATATTCACTGTGATTTTCCAACAACAGTGACTCTGTAAGCAACTTCAATAACCAGTCAAGCATCCACACCCTCAAATGCACCAAGGCCCTCCTAGGAGGAGTCTGCCCCGCAGTCTGAGCCTTCAGAGTCTACCAGGAAAATGGATCTCACCCCCAAGAGTTATTAAAAACTGGTGCCAGCAACACAGGCCTTATTCCTTACCATATTCAGGGAGATTCAGAACCAACACAAGGTATAACTTCCCATCACTGGCAGAGGCTATGACTATCCACAAATCTAGAGAGAAAACACAACAAACTGTGAGAGGGCCCAGGAAGAGCCAAAAATGTTATAGTTCTAGGGGTTCATCTAGGTTTTAGAAACATAGGAGGGGGATAATTAGAAGTAGGCAAACCAGTATGAAACCTGATTGGCAAGGATGTGGAGAAATTAGAACCACACACATTGTTGCTGGGCATGTAAAATAATGCATCTCCTGGGGCTGGGGTTGTGGCTCAGTGGTAGAGTGCTCGCCTAGCATGCTTGGGGCACTGGGTATGATCCTCAGCACCATATAAATGTAAAATAAAGATGTTGTGTCCACTTAAAACTAAAGGATAAATATTTTTTAAAATATTTGAAAAGAAGAAAAATAAAGTAGTGCATATTCTGTAGAAAAGACACTGGCAGTTCTCAAAATGTTAAACAGAGTTAGCATACAATCTATAAATGCCACTCCTATGTATCTACTCAAGAGAAATAAAAACAGGTTCACATCAAAACTTGCTCGTGAATGTTCATAGAAGTATTATTCATAACAGCTAAAAGGTTAATAACCCAATGTCCACCAACTGATGAGTGAACAAATAAAATGTCATTTCCACACAAGGGAGTTGTTATGATAGGGATATCAGGTGTCCCCCAAAAGTTTCTCTGTTGATACAAGAAGTAAAATGATCAGATCATGAGAACCATAACCTAATTATGATTTCATCCATTTGATGAATTAATAATTTGAATGGACTAACTAAATGGTAATGTAGGCAGTTAGGGTGTGGCTGGAGGAAAGGGGCATGTCTTTGGGATTTGAATTTTGTCCCTTGACTCTCTCGGCTTCCAGGTTGCTATGTCCTTCCACCACGATGTTCTGCCTCACCTCAGGCCCAGAGCAATGGAGTTAGATGACCAAAAACTGAACCTCCTAACCATGAGCCAAATAAACCTTTCCTCTTCTAAGTTGTTCTTGACAGTTACTTTGGTCACAAAACACAAAGCTGACTATTATTCAGTCATAAGAATAAAATTCTGATATATGTCACAACATGAAATGCCCAGAACTGGTAAAGTAGATTAGTTGGCTAAGGGATAGGACAACTGGGGAGTGCTATAGTTTGAATATTATTTATTCCCTCCATAATTCATATTGAAATTTGGTCCCTAATTTAACAGTTTAAGAGGAGATAGGGCCTTTAAGAGGTGATTAAGTCCTTAAGAAAAATTAACACCTTTCTAGCAGGAGTAGGGAGTGAGTTCCCTTTTCTGCTTCTGGTTTGAGGTGTTAGAAAGTGTGGCTGCCCTCTTTGTTTTGTCTCTTTGACACAAGTGCTTGCCCTTTCACTCTCCAACATGTGTTGATGCAGGATAAGGCCCTCACCATACGTAGCTGCCCAATCTTAGACTTCTCAGTCTCCAGAACTGTAGCCAAAATAAAACTCTTTATTAATTACCCAGTTTCAGACCAAGATGAACTGCCTACTAATGGGTTCAGGATTATTTTTCTGGAGTGATGAAAATATTCTAAAATTGATTTATGGTGATGATTACAATTCTGTTAATACACTAAAAAGCACATTGAAAAGCTGGGGTTGTAGCTCAGTGGTAGAGCACTTGCCTAATGTGTGGAGCACTGGGTTCGATTTTCAGCACCACATATAAATAACTGAATAAAATAAAAGTCCATCAACATCTAAAAAACTATTTTTTAAAAAAGCACATTGAATTGGATAACTTTAAATAGAAGAACCGCATAATTGGTGAATTCCACCTTGAAAAAAGCTCTTAATGTACTCCACTTTTTTAAATTTAAATATTTATTTTTTAGTTGTAGATGGACACAATACCTTTATTTTATTTTATTTATGTGGTGCTGAGGATCGAACTCAGGGCCTCACATGTGCTAGGGGAGCACTCTACCGCTAAGCCACAACTCCAGCCCTCCACTTTTATAAAAGAAAACCACCACCACCAACAGTGCTTATAGCAATAACTTCTAGTACTGGCTTGCGCCACAGCTATGACTTCTCCAGGGGTTCCTGCAAGGAAGGAAGTATGTCTTTTTTGCAGACAAAGGACACTAACCTTTCAAAGGCTAATAGCTAGGTTAGTTCTACATTAAGAATTAAGAATGCTGCTGATTAAAACTGCTGCTTTACCATAAGCTATGCCATGATGATCATCGTGACTACCATGGGGGAAAAAAAAGATAAAAGTAGAAAACACAGCATTACAAGGCTATATCCAGACTATTATCAAAACAAAACCAGAAAATAACAAGTATTTGAAAAAATACAGAGAAATTGGAGCCCAGGTGCACTGCTGGTGTATGTGATATGGAAAAGAGTATGGTAACTCCTCAAAAAATTAAACATAGAATTAACATGTAATGCAGCAATCCCACTTTTTGGTATATACCCAAAAGAACTGAAAGCAGGGACTTGAGTTATTTGCATAGTACCATAGCCAAAATGTGGAAGTAAACCAAGTGTCCATCAACATATGAATGGCTAAACAAAATATGATATATACTAACAATGGAATATTATTTATTCTTAAAAAGGAATTGAATTCTGACACCTACTACAAGAAGAATGAACCTTGAAAATATTATGTTAAGTAAAATACGCTATGGGCTGGGATTGTGGCTCAGTGGTAGAGTGCTCACCTAGCACGTGTGAGGCTCTCACACCGACCCTCAGCACCACATAAAAATAAATAAATAAAATAAAGATATTGTGTCCATCTACAGCTAAAAATATTTTTWAAAAAAAGTAAAATAAGCTAGTCACAGGTTTAGAGATGTGGCTCAGTGGTACAGCACTTGCCTAGCATGCACAAGGCCCTAGGTTTTCAAGTCCCAACATCACAATCAATATCAGACATAAAAGAAAAAATAGTGTCTGATTCTAGAATAGACAAATTCACAGAGACAGAAAGAAGAATGGTGTTTGCCAACCCTAGGGGAATGGCAATAGAGTTAGTATTTAATGTGGACAGAATTTCAGTTTTGCAAAATGAAAAGAGTTCTGGAAATAGATGGTGGTAATAATTGCACACAATGTGAATATATTTAATGCCACTGAACTGTACATGTGAAAAATGGTTAAAAATGGTAAATTTTGTTATTTTTTTTTTTACCACAATTAGGGGGAAAAAGCCTGAATTAGCAATTATGGAATAGAAAATTTCCAATTAGGATGAAATGTGAACATATTTCAAAGACACTACTCCCCATAAAGTATCTACTAGATTCTGAACATCCTCAAAGAGGGGCACAGCCCAAGGTGCAGACCAGCCGCACAAGCCTCCTTGATGACTCCCAGCAGGCAGAGTCCAGGCACTGCTGGATCCCACATGGCTGTTCTCTCACACTCATCCATTGGGCTCTGTGTACTGAATCCCAGAAAACCTTTGTTGTTATTGAGCAACACACAGCCTCCTACCTAACAGTTGCTCTCACTTTCAAACAGGTACTCAATAACTATCCATTGGTTAATTTTTTTCCACCACTACCTTATTATAAAAATTGACTGTCCTGCCTATACCTAAAATTTTAAGAAGAAAATTTGAAAGGGCACTGGATTTGGAATGGGAAGATTTTAAAGCATAACTAGGTTCTATCTCAAGATGTTTGAGACGCTGATCCTTCACCAGTCTTTTTGTGCACGTCTTGTGCATAAAATGGGGACAATGGCCTGACTACACTGGTAAGGAGCTCACCTGGGATTCACTGTGTCATGCCATGTTCTTGGAAACTCTCAACTTTTAGCCAAATGAAACTAGTCAACCAGCCTGTCTCTGTTCCCCTGTCAACAAATGACATTCACACCTAGTCACAGGCCTCTCAAACCACTCTCAAAAGGTCAGATGTACCTTTTGAGAGTGGTTTGAAAGTGAGAGCAACTATTAGGTAGGAGGCTATGTGTTGCTCAATAACAATAAAGGTTTTCTGGGACTCAGAAAGTCTCTCTAGATGCCAAATGAATCCTCATGGGGAATAATAAGAGCCCAGGGATGGATGCAGGATCATGTCTCTATGAGGCATTGGCAGGACCTGTGTACATGGAGGCAGAGCATTACATTAATAAAGCCATCATGTAGGGGCCCAACCTACTCCCAAAGAATAACAGCTCACCTACTTCCTGCCTCAGCACCCAACAACTACCAGGATTGTGCTAAGTGAGCCTATGCCTTCCCGGGGTCAATCTCACTCTCTTCTTAGGACCACATGGATATAAAGGCTGATTCTCAGAGTTGACAGAAGATGGCCCTCCCAGGACAGACAGAACTACTGAATAATTGGACAATGATGTAAATCAAAACCACCACAATGAAACACCACTTCATATCCATTAGGGTAGCTAAAAATCAAACAAATAGATAAAATAAAAAAATAACAATAGTAAGGATGTAAAAAAACTGAACCCATCCTGAACCACTAGTAAGAATATAAACTGCTACAGCTGCTGTGAAAAACAGGATGGTAGTTCCTTAAAAAGTTAAGTATAGGGGTTGGGGTTGTGGCTCAGTGGTAGAGTGCTTGCCCAGCACATGCGAGGCACTGAGTTTGATCCTCAGCACCATATAAAAAAACAACCACATAAAATAAAGTTTGAAAAAAAAGGTTAAGTATAGAATGACCACAAAATACAGTGAGTCCACTCATGGTATATACCTGAAAAAAAAAAAAAAAACATGGATCAAGCAGATATTTGTATATTCATGTTCACTGCAGCATTATTAACAATTGCCAAAAGGTAGAAACAATCAAATATCCAACAACAGACGAATGCCCAAACAGAATGTGGTGTAAATATATAAGGAAATATTAATTCATTAAAAAGTGAAATTCTGACATATGCTGCAATACGTATTAACTCTTAAAACATTTTGCTAAGGGAAATAAGCTGGACACAAAAGGAGAAATGTATGAGTCCCCTTATACAACATACTTAGAATAAGTAAATTTGTACAGGCTAAAAATAAAATAGAGGTTATCAGTGGCTATGCAGAGGTAGAAA